GGTTCATTAAGAGACCATTTTTAATTGTACTTACAAATTGAGACCCATCCCAATTGCATCGGTGGCAACCATGATTTTACATGGATCATCCGGATCGTTGAACTTCTTTGCCTGGGTAAGTTTTGTTCCTGTAACAATCAGAACAACAGATGAAGTCCCAATTACGAAAAAGATCTGACTACTTACTTTTATTTAGATTTATAATATTTACTTCTTAAAAATTCCCTTCTGAAGCTGACATTTTAATTAGGCGGTGAAAAAAATGCAGCACCGAAAACTTCATCGGGACCAGCTTCGCTATGTGACTACAAAGTATGTCCCAGGATCACACCTTCTGCATTTGCACGGAGATCTCCATCTGTCTGGAGTAGTATCGTCCACATACAATCCTACGTACATTTATGTTTCTCATAATTAAATGTTCTCAAATTATTGAATTTATAGTGGCTATTCAACAAGCCACGAGGAACTGCTAATTCACAGTACTAACATTGCTGTAAGATGACCTTAAATTAAGAAAAATATTGCAATATAAGAGAAGCTGATCTGTTTGTCTGTGGAAGAGACAACCAAGGAAAGAAAGTCATTTTGTAAGAACTTTTTAAACAGAGGAAATGTTGCCACATGCCAACATAGAGTAGGAAAATGTTTATACTGACAGGAACTTAAACTAAATGCCTTCTGGGGATATTTTCTAATTCTATTATGGTTTTGGAGTAGCACAAAATAAAGATTTCTTAAGAGTGGTATATCCCTGCTGTTTCTCTCTTACATCTTACAAGGAGTCATTCTGCTATCTATATAAATCTCTGTGAGAGAAAATTATGTCAACCCATTCAAGAAAATACAATTCATACACAGTAATAGAAAACATTTTTAAAGAAGGAACTAAAATAAAAGGAATACCACTGAGTTGCATATATTATCTTCAAGTAGCTGGTGTCTAAATAAGGGGCAGTTAATTCAAGAATCAACAAATGAAACAAAGAGTGGATGTAAACACTACAAAATTCCAAAGATAAATAAACAAATAATACATCTAAACTATCAGATGTAGAAATATGGCACAATTTAGTAATCAAAAGTAAACCCTACCAATTCTACTTTTCAATAATAATTACAGTGATAATAAGTATTTCCCGCATATAATTCACCCAAAGAATTTAGAATATGTACCAGGTGGAAGACTTCCATATATGACTGCACATTCCAAGCCCCGGAATTCAATTTGTCGACTCACTGAATAAATGTCATTCTTGTTAAAACAAACAATGCAGTCTCCAGGGTGAAGGTTATCCAGAGATCCAAGAGCCTTATTCAGAATCTTGATGGGAGTAAGCCTCTTGTATCTTTTCACCTATAAACAAACCATATTATTTATAGCCATAATTAGAATGCAATAATACTGACCCAAAGACATTGGTTACAGTCAAGAGTTTCTGAATGGGCAGCCTTTGACCCTAAAAGGCTCTCAACTTGACCTTGATCACAAGCTGTAAGAACAATGACTAAAAGTGAAGGACTCTTTCCTAGCTCCTCATCCTAAGCAGGGCATCTAGCAACCCCTTT